CCCCCCTTTTTTCCCCCTTGAATTGTTCGCCGCCCTGAGTCCTCCCAGAGAAGGGGGGCATACAAATAATAAAATACAAATACAAATACAAATACAAATGTTAATTATGTCAAATATAATTTTCATAATTCCTTACGTTTCTAGGCACTGAGAGTCACATCAGCTGCATTTCTTATCATTTTTGCATGCTGAATGTTTCTGTATGTGTGTATGGAATCGTAGAAGATTACATCGTATATCTAAAATCCAGCAGTAACTTTTGTCCTCATTTCGTTAATTCAAAGAAAAAAAATGACTTCAGGCAGTCTCTCAGCATTAAGGAGACCAGATTTTATTGCACTCGACATTATATTTTCTGGAATGTGATTATATTTGGAAGGGGCCAATCTTAAATTAGATGACTTTAGCACAGTGTTTCTCAACCTTGGCGACTTTAAGTCTTGTGGACTTCAACTCCCAGAATCCTCCAGCCAGCACAGCTGGCTGGGGGATTCTGGGAGTTGAAGTCCACAAGACTTAAAGTCGCCAAGGTTGAGAAACACTGCTTTAGGATATTCAGGATCATTTTCTAAATTAATCCAATTAAAATGATTCCATTTTGAATTGACTAAAAGATGGGCCCCATCTATAATCTAAGAACGCATATCACTGTTATGGAAGCAGAATTAGCTTGAACCAAGGGTCTCAAATAAAATATCACTTACTCCAACATTGTTACATCTGTTTACCATGTCTTTAAATTCAGTCTCATTTCCAGATCGTGTACAGAGCTTGTAGCTCACGGGTTGGTATCTTTCCCACCATGGTCTCCACGGTGTTGTAATGACAACGTTTTCATTTGGAGGAGAGATCTGTGAATTGAATAACATCACCCAACAACACAGAACATTATTTCTTTAACTCAGTGGCAGGCTGAAAATCCTTTTTTACATAGCCCATGGAACTATGGAGATTCTCTGTGGTACAATCCTTCCCTTGATTTGAAAGCACTTGGGTTTCTTAAGGAATACTTTAAAAAAAAAAGTTTGGAAAAGCCCAATGTGCAGAAAGCCTTTTCTTATTTTTTCCTCTTCAAGTTCATGGGCTTTCTTGAAATCAGCAACTTAAAGAGTGACTGGAAATCCTATGATTTCTGCTTCAGTTAATCAAGCAAAAGCCAGCAAAACAACTTCTTTGTCCCTCATACAATCANGAGGGAGGGAGGGGCATACAAAAAAATTGTACTTCAATGTTTTAATGATTGACGAATGATGAAATATTTGTGTTTTTTAAAAGAAATAAAACCTTCTTAAAAAAAAAATATGAAATAAATTTCTAGCCCATTGGAATTAGAAGTGTAGCTAGCTTTACAAAAATAAGACCAAATTTCCCTTACAAACTATAGATCAGGAAGTCTCCAAATCCATACTTGCATTCACAATTTGGCCTTAATTGGAAAATCATTTCCTCAAGGCAGTCTGGATACCATAACAGGGGGATATTAATAGCTAATTGATCGTAAAGATAACTAAGTAAGATGACACACGTAAACGGCTTGGAAGTGTTGCTGCGCAATTGCAGAGCATTATAATTGCATTTTCCCACTCTCTCACTCGCATAATTCAAGATGCTGCAACATTTGCAAATTGCTTATATTCAACCTATCTTAGGAACACTTTCCCCCTTGAGCTGCTATTATTGCTTCCTTTGGAAGCTTACCCAGATGCCCTTTGAATGATGCCATCTGTGCACCAGGCTCAGCTAAAGACATGGAAACCACGTTCCTGGCAGGTGCTCCGTTCCCAGGGATAAAATTCCTTCCCAAACTGATTTGCCAAAGTACCGCTCTGAGCTTTATACGCTAGCAGCATCACAGCCAAAGGATATCAAATAAGAGAGCTTGTGCTTGTGAGGGTGATCACTCCGTTCCTCCAGAACCTATCCGATCCTAATTTACATTCCACCTTTGTAGGGCAGACATTAAAAAGAGTAGCAATGAAACAATTTACAAAAAAACAGTAGATGCTTTCCCATGCTGTGTTTTTTTTTAATGGTCCTTGCTGGTCCTCTTTTCCAAATTTAGAGATGGCTGGTGGCTGGTTTGCATTCCCAAAAATAGCTCCTATTACTACACCTATATTATTTAGATCCAGCTTGTAGACCAGGCTCCTAGCTGACTAGGAATAATGCAAAACATGGTTTCTCGCAATTCCCAGGACTAGTAAGTCAACATGGACTGAGGTTTCTGGTACTTGAGAGACCGCCTGCTGCCAATTACCTCCCACAGACCCATTAGATCTCACAGGGTTGGCNCTGCACTCTAACCACTGCGCCACCTCGGCTCTTTATACTGCCGAGGATGAAGAGGAATCAGCCTAGTCACATCCCTGTCTTAATAAAAGGCGCCCATCAGGACATCCAAGTTTCCCTCTTTGTTGTGGAGAGGTGAGGTTCTACTACTTTATGCTGAATACATAAATTAATAGATGCCTCTCATTTCCCCAAGCTGTTTGTTAAGTTTACAACGCATACTGACCTCTCCATTTTGAAAATATCTTGGCCATCTGAAACTTGACATGATCCTTGTAAAGCCATATGGATGCGCAAGCATGAAGCCAACTCCCATTTTATAGAGCCTAAATATGGAATTAAAAAAAGCAGAGAAATTCAGATTTGTACCTCTCTAGCAAGAGAGAGACTCAGTCAGGCCTTCTGAGTGCAGTGATTTTGGTGTCTGAGATCAAGAGAAAAAGATACCTAACTTCTTTCCATACACACAGAAGCAATTTTGTTGACAGTTAAATCTTTCTTCGTCACGGGTATTTTAGTGGACTTGAGGGGAGCTGGCTAGTTTAAGGGGTGCAGAACAGTGGTGGGTTTCAAAATTTTTTTTAACCTACTCTGTGGGTGTGGCCTCCTTTGTGGGAGTGGCTTGCCTGCCATGTGACCTGTGGGAGTGGTGTTCTCTCTCTCTCTCTCTCTCTCTCTCTCTCTCTCTCTTTTCCTTTCTTTTATCTTTCTGTCCCTTTTTCCTTTTTTTTCTTTCATCTCTCTTTCTCTCTCTTTTTTCCCTTCCTTTTGTCTCTCTGTCCCTTTTTCCTTTTTTTCTCATCTCTCTCTCACTTTTTCCTTTTTTATTTCTTTCTTCCTTCCTTTCTCTTTCTTTCTCTCTCTCTCTCTCTTTTTCCTTTCTTTTATCTCTGTCCCTTTTTCCTTTTTTTCTTTCATCTCTCTTTCTCTCTCTTTTTTCTTTTCTTTTGTCTCTCTGTCCCTTTTTCCTTTTTTTCTTTCATCTCTCTCTCTCACTTTTTCTTTCTTTTTTCTTTTTTATTTCTTTCTTCCTTCCTTTCTCTCTCTCTCTCTCTCTCTCTTTTCCTTTCTTTTATCTCTCTGTCCCTTTTTCCTTTTTTTCTTTCATCTCTCTTTCTCTCTCTTTTTTCCCTTCCTTTTGTCTCTCTGTCCCTTTTTCCTTTTTTTCTTTCATCTCTCTCTCTTTTTCTTTCTTTTTTCTTTTTTTATTTCTTCCTTCCTTCCTTTCTCTTTCTTTCTCTCTCTCTCTTTTTCCTTTCTTTTATCTCTCTGTCCCTTTTTCCTTTTTTCTTTCATCTCTCTGTCTCTCTTTTTTTCCCTTCCTTTTGTCTCTCTGTCCCTTTTTCCTTTTTTTCTTTCATCTCTCTCTCTCTCTTTTTTTCCCTTCCTTTTGTCTCTCTGTCCCTTTTTCC